GACGCGTTTCAGAAAGGCGGGCATAGAGGAGAAACAATAATGTACAGTATGTGGAAAATGTGTTTTTTGAAACTTAAACCGCATAAACATTTCATTACACCAAATACACAAAATACAGACGCAGAAGAGGGAAACGTGCCGGCGCCCTGGTGATGCTCCGCGCACGCGGCTTTCGGACTGCGCTCCCAAGCATTCATCTCACGAATGTCCGTTCCCTTCCTAACAAAACAGACGAACTTCTTCTCCTCACCCGCACCACAAGGATTTTTCAAATTCTGCTGCACTGTGCTTCACTGAAACCTGGCTGAGTGAAGCCATTCCGGACAACGCGCTTCATCTGCCGGGCTACCAGCTGTTCAGAGCGGATCGCATCGCGGAGTTAACAGGGAAAACCAGAGGTGGTGGATTGTGTTTCTACATCAACGAAAGTTGGTGTTCAGATGTAACAACGCTGGAAAAGGTATGCTCTCCTAATTTAGAGGCACTCATCATAAACTGTAAACGTTTCTACTTGCCGCGGGAGTTTTCCTCTTTCATTCTTGTGAATGTGTACGTGCCTCCGGACGCGTGCGTGAGCGCCACGATGCAACAGCTGGCCGAACAAATAACTGAAATGGAGCAAAGGTACCCAGACTCTATTTTAATCATTCTTGGAGATTTTAACAAATCAAATCTCTCCCATGAACTGCCAAAATTCAAGCAGCACATTACGTGTCCCACCAGAGACAGCAATATATTGGATCACTGTTACACAGCAATAAAGGATGCATATCACTCTGTCCCACAAGCAGCTTTGGGGCTCTCTGATCACTGTTTGGTTCATCTTATACCGACCTACAGGCAGAAACTGAAATCAGCTAAACCTGTTTTAAGGACTGTTAAAAGATGGACTAATGAATCAGAGCGGGATTTACAAGCCTGTTTCGACCTCACTGATTGGAGTGTTTTTGAAGCAGCCACCAACGATCTGGACGAGCTCACGGAATCTGTAACATCATATATCAGT